GGGTTCCTTGAGAATACCCTGTGTTGGCAACCAACTGTCACAATTCCCTTTCCATTTGACTTAATACAACCTAAACGAGGCAACCTCAAAGCACAGGCATTAAGAAGTCTTGGCAATACTACCTGCAACATCTTATCGCAGGGCAAGATCCAGCTCCTCGGGGTTCTTCACATGACAGTTTTAGAACCAAGGAGTGAGGGCAACTTCAGTGACCAGTGAAAGCCATCCCAAATAATCTGTCTGCATAGAGTTTTCACATTAACTCATTTTAGTTATATATAGAGAAAATAGATTAGAAAGCCAAGTAGTAACCACCTGAAACATTTCCTAATTCTCTACTCCATGTACTTTTCTGCTATTCACATTCTAAAAGAAGAGCTTGTTCCAGTTGAAGTTCTCTTAACCATATCAATAATGGTAATAAAGGTCTTCCTCATGTTTTTCCAAAACAAGAAAACTTTTAAACTGATGAGTTTATTACTCAGGGATCTCTAGAGAAACAAAAGCAACAAGATGTTCATTTACTGTGTGTGTAGGCATGTGTAAAAAGACAGGGACAAAGAGTGTGGTTTACTTTAAGGAAATGACTCAACCTGTTTTGGAGACATGAGAACTTCAAAGTCTGCAGGAAAGTACAACAGGCTGAAGGAAAAGGTTGCAATCTGAGCTTAAAGGCAGACTGCTAGCAATTCCTTCTTATCTAAGTGAGATTAGTCTTTGTTTATTAAAAGTCTTTGACTAAATAAACAAGGTCCGTTCACATTGTAGAAAGTAACTTGAGAATATACTAATCTCATTTGAAAATCACCTTGAAATAAATATCTAGAATAGTGCTTGAAAAGTTTTCTGGGCATTATGTCAATCAATCTGACAAGGTTAATATTTAGGGTCAAGTTGATTGGATTGAGAAACATCTAAGGAATGAGAAAAACATACTTCTGGATGTGCCTGTGAGAGGATTTCCAGAGAGCATTAGCATTGGGATTGCAAGCTCAGGGAGATATCAGCCACTGAATGTGAATGGCTTTATTTGGGAGGCTGTGGGCCCAGGAGAAAACAGAGGAAGCCTGCTAGTTCTCTCTCTCTCTCTCTCTCTCTCTCTCTCTCTCTCTCTCTCTTTCTCTCTCTCCTCTGTTGCAGAGGTCTTGAGACAGACACATTTATTCTGCCATTCCCTCACTCCCTTCAGCTGGGATGCTTCTCCTTGCCTCTGGCCTTTAGTGGAAGAGTCTGCTGAACAGAAAATAAATTCTCTGAAATTCCGAGCCAAAACAATGAGTCTTTCTGACTTTGAGATTTCATTCTCAAGTATTTTGTCACATCATTGGAAAGCAAGATGAGAAGTCGATTGGCATATAATAAAATGTTTATTATATTTAAATTATTTAGTAAATAATAATAATTGGATGTTATATTAATTTGGAAAATATTAAAGTCATATACTTCTCAGTAATAATGCCAAGATCACAATCACTGGAATTTATGATTTCAGATGCATCCTTGATAGTTAGCAGACAATATTAAATGCAAATAGCTTCAAGAGTTCCCACGGGAGGATATACGTTTAACTGAAGGTTAATCAGCTTCATAATGTAGTGGGTGTCCTTACTAAGTGTAAACAGATCTGGTTAATCTTTTCTTTATTTAAGATCATATTGTTTATCATGACACTTTAAGCCGGCTGGGTTTTATTTAAGCTCAATTTCTTCTTATTGGCAAAGTAGTGCCACTAAAATTTCTACCAGAAATTTCAGGTAAGTTGCTTGGAACCTACATAATCATCCAATATATAAAGTAAACTTGAGCTTTCATATTTTATTTTAAGAGAACTATTCCTGAAATTTTGTGGTTTAATTTTAAATTTTAATCATTGCTTTGCCTTGACAAAGTTTTCAATACTATTGTGTATATCAGAGAGAAATTTTTAACCCAGATTTTCATTTTAGGACAGTTTTTTATAAAACCAGGGATGTGTATTATATAGAGGTATAAGGAGAGTTTTGTTTAAGTGTGAATTCAGTACTTAGTTTAAGTGTGAGCTCAAGACTTAGCTCATAACCTAATTATTTCCATTGGAGAGCTAATTGTTCCTGCATTGGATTAATGCATAAGTAAAAAACAGGTTTTAGGCTAATACATGCTAAATACAAAGATGACTACAAAACAGACCCCTGGGGTCTTTAGTGTAGCATGCATATAAAAGGATGCAACATGTCACCCTTTGGTTATATTTTAATTTACTAGTACTGTGTAATGAACTTTAAAATATTCAGACACTATCAAATTTATACTTTTAAAATAAAGATCATATTAATTTTATATAAAGTCATATAAAATTATGACTTTAATATTCTTTTATTTAAAAGGAGAAGCAAGATAATGTTTACCTATAGAAAATTCTCTGTTAAAGCAATATTAAACTTTATTAATGTAACTTTTAAGGCAATATCTAATTTTGGTTTATTTTGTATTTGTTTTATACAAATTTATTATTCCCTCCTTTTTGTGTAAGTAGGAAATTTCATATTTTATTATGATTGAAGTTGATACAATGTTTGATTATGTTGACTTCTTTGGAAAATTGTTAATAGTCTAAGGAGTCAGAGTTTACAAGCATATTAATCATATATTTAACTATAATTCTGTCAAAAATTTTCTGCAAATATCACATAACTTCTCAGATTATTTTAAAGTCAGAATAATTATGTTTAAAACTTCACTTGTGGCACATATTTTCTACCTTAAGTATTGTCAATATTACTTTTTCATTTAGTTTTATATTTAACTAAAATCAGAAGACAATCTAAAATTTAATCTTTATAGTTTGAGAACTTTCTTAATACCAAACATATATCTTGAAAA